TCTATTCTTAATAAATTTCGGAATAATTTAATAGATATTATCCGTACTTAAAAATATTTAATTTCATCGTAAAATATATACTTTTTTGAATTGTAATTAAATTAAAGGGGGGAGGGGTAAAGTCGTAAATTGAGGTTTTTCTAAGTCTAGTTTGGCAATCCAGCTCGTATGAAACTTGGCAGACATGCCAACTCTTTGGGCAACCTAATAAATTTGTAGTGACTATTCTATTAACCTCTATGGTATGATATTATCGATCCACCGCTAGCAGATATTGTCTTTTTCGGACTTTCTCTTTCGGGCTTTCCCTCAAGACTTTAAAACGCGTTTGCTAGGAGAAGGTTTCCACACCCTTATAAATAGTGGTTTGTTCTCCTCCCCAATCAACGTGGAACATCACAAAAATTAAAATTTATATTTTTTATTTATAAACTCATGATCTTCTTCTTAATTAGTGAACGTGAGACTCTTTCTGACAATGATCCTTTATTTTGTGGCTTGCCAATAATAACCAAAGTAGCACCGTTTAGAAGCTGAGCCCCATCTTAATAGTAACGGTGCAGCTTAATTTCTTGTCGTTAGCGTCTTTTAAAAACGTTTGAACAAATATAGTTAGTGTATGGTTTTTATTATTATTAAAAAAATAGTTTATTAGAAAAATGGTTGAAATTAAAAAGCTTTGGGGGTAAGGATAAAGAGTCCTAATTTCCACCAACCATTGACGCCTACCTACCACCGCCGTTGTGACAGTTGGTAGGGGTTGTTGAAGAAAACGACCCGAATGGGTAAACGGGTCGACCCATTCACCGTTCAAATTTTGGCTGCCCCAACGTGAACTATAATGCCTTTTTTTTTCCTTCCAAACCTAAATATTTATTTATTTAACTTTTAAAAATATTTAAAGTAATAAATCTTTAACCTATTAAATAATTTTTAAAATACACGGACATAAAATTAAAATAATGAGGTCTAATCAGACAAAATTCAATTTAATACCGGTTAACCTTAAATTATTTTAATATTGAACATTTTCAAAGTAAAAAAATTAAAAGCCAATTTTAACGTCCAAACATTTTAGACATAAATTTAAAATTACTTTATCGTATCTATTTAATCTTCAATCATACGTGGCTTAAAGAATTCAAATAAGTTAAATAATAATAATAATAATTAGCGAACTATATGAGGATGAGACAATTTTAAAATTTTAAATGACGTATTACAATTTTATATGAGCTGAATGACAAAATTAATAATTTAAACTAAATCTCGTGATCCGCACGAAGATCACTGATTATTATTTATTATTAAAAAAATATTATAGTTAATGTTTTTATTATTCTTGATCACGAAATATTAAGAAAATCATATAAAATCCGCCGTGGAAATTAGAGATAATCAGATTTTTTTATAATATCTAACGTGGTTCGAGTTGACATTCCAACACCGTCTGATGTGTCAATTATTAAAAAAAATATATTTTTTAATTAAAAAAAATGGGTTTTTTTTAATAATTGAGCCAAAACTTTCCCCTCCAACTCAGCTACCCAATTTTGAAGGTCAAGCTCAAAATCGACGGCTGTGAAGAAAAGAGATCAGAGAAATCATATAAAAACATATAATGTCTTGGGGAAGACTACACGTCAATTATTATTGAAAGTAAATAGCAAAATAAAATAATTTAAAGATATTTAGTTAATTATTATTGAATTAAAGATTATAGGTTGAAATCAGATATAGGAATCTTTTACCTTAAATAATTTTCAATTATACCATTTTTATTAGGTCAATAAATTTAGTTGTTGACTTATGTGACATAAAATTTATTACAAGAATAAAATAATTTAATTCCTCTAAATCTCTTAAAAGTTGATACAAATTTTGACCTATCTTCTCAATAAATTGTATTTGGGCCGCGGCCCATTGAATATATGTCGCCAATTTTGTCGGCCCATAGTTTCTAAATTTATATTGAAATTAAACAATAATTTGTGATTTGTTTACTATTTATATATAAATGAAAATAATAAATATAGAATTAAAAATGAAAAGATGTGGTGGGCTCTTTGATTTTGTCTGCAGTGTTTTTAATGTCAAATTCTACCTTCTTTTTCTTGGGATTCAGTCAAAATCCTAAGGCCAGTATTTTGCCACGTGTATGCAGCCATAAAATAGAGATTTGATTAGTAAAATAAAAATATTTACAGTGTTTTGAGTAAAAAAGGTAAGAAAAATAGAAGTAAATGTAATAATGAATGATAATGATATAGTAAGGTAATTAGGTAACATTAATAATTAACTAAAAAAGTATGAATGGGTGCGCATGTTTTTGTTTTGTATTATTACCTTATTACCACTTCACCCTTTTTATTTATTTTATTTTATTTTATTTTATTTATACATATTACTAAAGAATGATTGAATTGAAAAGGAGAGACAAATAAATGTACAAAAATTTGGTGGGGACTTATAAGTTGGAATAAAACAGGAACATTATTAGATTTGGAAAAAATATAAAACATTAAAGTGGATATTCCTTTCCACACAATTTGTCACATTTATGTTTTTTTTTTTTAGAGAAAAATAAAGTATGATTTATAAGGATGTTAATATCTTTTAATGGTGGGCTTGAGCGGTTACAAATGGTATTAGAGTCAGACATGTGGGCTATGTGGCAGCGAGGAGGCTAAGTTTTGAAAGGAGGCAGACATGAGACGGTGGTGTGCTAGCAAAGATGCTGGACCTTGAAAAGGGGTGGATTGAGGGGTTTCACATTGATTGGAGAAGGGTATGAGTGCAAGGGAGGATGATGGGCCTTGAGGGGTGGATTGGGGAGTCCTGCATCAATTAGAGAAGGGAATGAGATCGGGCCTTGAAGGGGTGTGGATTAGAGGGTCCCACCTCGTTTGAAGGAGAGAACGTGTTGGGGTAAGTGGATCAGAGGGTCCCACATTAATTAGACAAGAGAACGAGTGCCAATAAGAATGCTGGATCTTTAGGTTTTTCATTTTTATTTATTTATATAAATAATAATAAAAATTAATATCTTATTTTGATTTTTTGAATGGGAATATGAATTTATTTATATTTGTGAAATTAATAAGTGAACAATAATTGAAATTTCTTTTCTTGCTCGCAAAATCAGGGACGAGACCTTTTGTCATCATTTTTATTTTTTACTTTTACTTTTACTTTTCCATGAAAAGGTCACTATTTTTATGAACCTCCATCGCAAACATCCCTTTCTTTTCCCTAAATAAAAAAAAAAAAAAAAAAAAAAAAAAA